ACCTCAAAAAAAAACCAAAGCCGGGAGCCCGGAGCCCAGAAGAAGCTGGGAGCAGGACCTTATACCCTGAACTTGGGGTTTAGGGGTTTAGGGCTTTAGGGCTTTAGGGTTTTAGGGTTTAGGGGTTTTCGGGTTTAGGGTTTTAGGGTTTAGGGTTTCCCACAAGGCACATAGTACGGGAATCCTTGCAAAATGCTTACGCTTACATCCTTTTGATGTTTGGGGCCCTTACAGGTGAAGGCGAGCGCGGTGGAGAGCTTGTCATGCATGGGAGACGAGGCACCTGGGTTTTAGGGTGTAGGGTTCATGGTTTCGCGGTTTAGGGTCTTGGCGGGTTAAGGTTTCAGGCTTTTGGGGGATTCCGTGCATGCGTGACGAGGCATCATGTACCCGAATTTCGGGTTTAAGCCTCATGGGATCCTACAGTGTACAGCGTTCCATGCCTGCATGCCTGGGAGATGAGCACAAAGAGCCTAAATGTAGCCTACAGGAGTTTCAGGTTCAACTACCATCTATGGGTGATGCATAGTACATGGGTTTCAGAGTCATTGTACCCCTAAGCCCCAAAACCCTAAACCCTAAACCCCTGAAGCCTTGAGCCCTCAACGCAGAGGCCTTTTTGGAGCCGATTTGCAAGCCCTAAACCCTAAAACCCTAAAACCCTGAAGCCTTGAGCCCTCAAGGCAGAGGCGTTTTTGGAGCCCTAAAACCCCTAAACCCTAAAACCCTGAAGCCTTGAACTGACTCAAGGCAGAGGCCTTTTTGGAGCCGATCTGCAAGCTCTTCAACGACAAGTCTTGGAAGGTGCGCGTGGCAGCGGTCAGAGCGGTGGCCGGTTGCGGTGAGCTTGGGCAGATGTATCTTGGTACCCTAAACCCTAAACCCTCAATCCCTAAATCCCCAGAGCTCCAAGTAGACAAACAGTACCTACTTTGGGGTCTCAAGTCTGATTTGGAGCCCAGGGAATGGGCGTGCTTTACACTTTTGGGGAGATGATATTACCTAAACCCTAAGCCCCTAAGCCCTAAACCCTGGTTACCCCTACAAAAGCCGATTTGTTTAACTTGTTATTGGGACTCCTGAACTCCGCAACAAAGGTATGCCTCGGAGGTCTGCAGATTGACGACGAACACCGACGCCAGGACCAAGCTGGCTGCAGTGAAGGCACTTGAGCAGATGGGAGAGCGAGGTGGGGTTCTTTGGAAACACATCTTAGGGTTTAGGGATTTAGGGGTGCCTGCTGCATATTCCGTTGCGGGCCCTACTGGTGTATGTAGGCGTTGTGTTTGAGGAGTTGCAACGCCCCATGAAGGCCCCCTACATCAAATCCTGAGACCCATAAAATCCTGAATCCTCATTCTGCACCCTGAACCCTCTTGCACCCTGTATCCTCATTCTACCCTAAAAAAACCCTAAACCCTAACCCTAAACCCTAACCCTGAAACCCTCATCTCTTAAATCCTGGGCGCCGAGGTGCCTGCTTTGATGAAGAGGTCGAGATGCTAATGAGCGACAATGACCCCGAAGTGGCGATTGCTGTGACTTTGCTGTTCAACAGGGGGTGAAGCACGGGTTAGGGATTTAGGGGTTTGGTTTTTGGGAGTTTAGGTTGAAATACTCGTTATGAAGAAGCTGAGATCCTTGTGAAGAGTATAAGTGTCGTGTTGGTAAGCCTCTTCGGCTCGAGGTGTGGGGCTTCTTGATCAGCGCAAAGCCTCCAAGATATGGACCTTTCCTAAACCCTTAACCTCAAACCCTAAACCCTAAACCCTAATTTCTCCTAGTCATAGGCAACTTAAGCCTCGAGCTTCAATGATTCAAGGCCTAAACCAAGCCTGAAGTTTCCCCAAACTGTAAACCCCAAAGCCCCACTCCTAAACCCCAAACCCGAACCTCCAATAGCCCTGGCAAAGCCCAGCAGCCAAGGCCAAGAAGGCCATCCAGACCTTCTTCGACCTTAAGGCGGCAGCCCTTGAAAACCAGACAAAGATGGCCATCGCGGAGACGCCTGCGACTGCGAACCACAGTTCCCCTCCCCCCCCCGAGCCTTCGGCGCCCTCTTCCGGATCCTCAACTGCAGCCCTCCTCTTTCCGGGGCAGGGCTCGCAGTATGTGAAGATGATGTCGGATGTGAAAGACGCTGAAGCTGTCCCGTTTGTAAGCTTTGCTTGTTTCGTAAAGCTCACATACCAGGCCTAAGACATGATTTAAGACATGGTATAGACTCTATACCGGTATAGAGTCGTTTAATAGTCTCTAATCAAACCTACATGACCCTATGGAACTCAGGACATGCCGGCCGTCAAGGACATGCTGGCAACAGCTCAGAAGATCCTCGGCTACGACCTTCTGAAGCTATGCCTGGAGGGTCCAGAGGACCAGCTGGAGCAAACGAAGTTCTGCCAACCAGCAGCTGGACTCGTTTACCTAAGGGTCGGGATAATCGCGTGCCTAATTTTAAGGCCCCACGGCTGGGGTATTCGGAGTGTAGGTAGAGTATGTTTGTTTAGGTTGGATATCTTGAGACTGAAGGTTGGATTATTTTTGATCAGAATGCATTCTTTCATGTCTGTATGAATACCGGGATGTGTAGCTGCAGATATGCATTTATTACTAGTCGTGCTTGTTGAACCAGTCCTTTCTACTTAGACAGAGACTGATTGAGAGAGAGTTCTGGGGTCGGCGCTCCAACAGGTACATGGATGAGTAGAACCACGAATAGATTGACAGATGGATGAGAGATACTGTTGATGATATACATCCTGCATTACCTTAAGGACCCTTAACTATGGGATTTGTGGTATATTCCTTATTATGGGTAGGGCAGGATTTATATCATCAGCCATAGGTCTAGATTGCCCCATGATCGTGTGGATACATGGGACCCGGACCCTCAACTGGAAGCCTAACTTTGGGCCCCAGACTGAACCCGACAAGAGCCTTAAGCCGAGCTTTTGAGGCGGTTTAGGGTTTAGGGTGGTTTAGGCTTAGGGTTTAGGGTTTAGGAAGCTTTTGAGGCCATGTATATTGGGGGCCTAGCCGGCCTTGAGCTGCTTCGGAAAGAAAATCCGGCAGCGGCAGAGACGCCACGCGCAGTCGCCGGGTTGTCCCTTGGAGAGTACACGGCGCTCACGGTCGCCGGGGTCTTTGACTTGGAGACAGGCCGTTTTTTTTTCAAACCCGACCCAAACTCTGAAAGCCATAGCCCGAAATGGACCATGAACTGCCATTCATCCCCAAACCCTATAAGCCTTTGGCCAAAGAAAGTACCTTCCAAATGGGCCGACAGGCCTTCGGCTGGTGAAGCTGCGAGGCGAGGCGATGCAGGAGGCCGCCGAAGCCTCCCCGCAGAAGATGATCTCTTTGGCCGGACTCAAAAAGGAGGTGCCCAGAAACTCCAAAACCCCTTAATTAAGGAATTAGACCTTAAATCATATTAGGGTTCCTATTAAATTAGTTCAAGGTCTATTCCTTAAATTAAGAGGGTTTTTGGGAGTCTCCAGGTGGTGGAGGGCCTATGCGCTGAGTGCAGATCGGGCGATGAGGTGTGCCAGATTGCCAACATCCTCTTCCCCAACGGCTTCTCCTGCGCCGGAAGCAAGGCTGCCATGGACAAGCTCTTGGAGAAAGCCAACAAGACAGATGGTTGTCTGCAGGCTCCGATGCAAAAACCTGGTTGCGCAACGCTTTCGCGCTGATGAGGGTCTTCTGAGCCTGGGGAAGCAGTAGCTTACGAATGGAGACCTCAACCCCAAACCCCTGAACCCCAAACCCAAAATCACAAGATCCCCCGCAGGCAAAGGAGCTGAAGACCTCGGGCGCCTTTCACACCAAGTGCATGATGCCCGCTCGTGACAAGCTCCTGGCAGCCTTGAAAGAGGTCGGGGTGGTAAGAAAAACCTGTTTAGGTAAGGGCTTCAATAATTTCAATAGGTTTTGGGCGGTATGTTCTATCTAATCTAAGCATAGTAGGGAACCAGAAGGAATATTGCTGAAAGTTATTCAGGCTTCTATGAGGGTTCAGAGAGGTACGTAAAGCTGCGAATACGCGAACCCTCAAAAGCACAGACTGTTTCATCCTCACGCCCCAACACCTACAACCCTCAACCCCCAGGTAGACAAGACAAGTTAAGACAAGTCAGTTCAAACAAGACAGAAGCTGGAAAAAATATCAATGTGATTCCTTAGTGTTGTCAATTTCTTACTGTAATTTCCCAAAGCCCTATGCTAATTCTTACAGGGCGTATGATGCAAAGACAAGAGCAGCAGGCAGAGACCATAAACCCGGAGCCCTAAACCGATTCGAAGAAGAAGAGCAGGTCGAGCCTAAGATGAAGCCCCCTACGTGCGACGTCTACGTGAACCTAACGGGATCGAAGATGCCAGCGGGCACTCCCGTTCCGAAAATCGCTTCTTGCTTTAACACAGAAGCCGACGGCTGAGGGTTTAGTAACTTAGTAATTTTAGGGTCAGGAGCCCAAAGAATTACCAGTCTTATTCCCAAGGTTTCCTTGCGCAGTTTAAGATTTTGATTATGAAGGCTTTTGAGTTGGTTGATGAGGGTTTTTCGAAAAGAGTTTGTTGTGCTGGTTCTACAAGGGTTTAGGGTGTGGGGTTTTAGATTTGTAGGGTCTGGGGCCACGGGCTGCGGCTGAGGGTGGTTACGCTTTGAGGTGCGGTGGGTCTAAAGTTTGGAATCTCGCAGGTTTAGGTTCTGGGTTTAGGGTTCAGGGTTTAGGGCTGTTTGCGCAATGGGTAGTTCTCGAAATTAGGGCCCTGTTTCAGGGTCCCCAAAATAGTACGGCACCCTTAGAAAACGACCCTAATTTACAGAACTGCCCCAATCCCAAAGACTATACATGTCTAACCAGTTTTTATTGCGGGAGCTCGACAAAAAAAGGTCGAGTTGCTGGCAGACCAGCTCACGAACTGCGTGGAGTGGATGCCCTGTATGCAGGCAATGATTCAGGACGGCATCGTTGACTTCTATGAATGTGGACCCATGAAGCAGCTGAAGGCCATGATGAAGCGGATTGACATGACAGCTTGGAAGACTACGCAGAACATCCATGTTTGAGCCCCGACCGAGAGTTTTGGCCAGAACTGCTATAGTTTCAGTGTACAAAGTGCTGGCACCCCGTTGCTGTCCCCATGACAAGTCCAGCATCCTAAATCTCAATGAGCCTTATAATTCCTACTTCCACCCCAAGCCCAAATCCCCAACCTCCCCAGTCCGCCTCAGGGTGTGCCTCTTTCGCAGAAGTGCTAGCTCCTGCGTAGCTCATGGGAGAGGTGGAGTCTGACTTCGCTCAGCCACCGGTAGCTTCTTCCTCTCGCAGCGTCCGCCTTCAGATGAATGAGCGTGCAAAAAAAAAGGCTTCAAAACGACTGATGTGACGAAGGCTGCACGGTCAGGTCGCCATGGCAGACACAACCGCATCGGTATGACTGACCATCGTCATCATCAGCTCCTTCCTGACTAGTGTAATCGGCACCGTTACGTTCTCTCATCATCACCATCTCTTCGTCCACGCTGGCTCTACCATCTTGGCAGCTTTGGGTAATCAAGATGCTTGTTCCTTGCGTGCCTTCGACGATCTAGACCATCTGCTTCGTCTATTTGCTAGTATTGCCATTACCCTGGGGCTCCAAATAGCCCAAAGTAGGTACTATTTACCGACTTTAGACCCCAAAGTAGGTACTATTTGCAAAATTGGAGCCCTAGGGTTACAGGGGTTTTAAAGAGGTGCTGCAAACCGTAAAGCCCAGGAGAGCCTGACAGTCCTGGGCCCGAATAATCGGTAGCAGTAGGCCCTTACAGAGTCCCTCCATTGAGTAGTTCTCTAAATTTGGGTCCCTTTTTTGGATCCCCAATATAGTCACGGCGCCCTTAGATTTTTTTCCAAAGACGGACCCGAAAAGGGACCCTACTTAAGAGAACTACCCACATACTTATTGTAGAATGTACTTCCCAGAAAAAACCTAAGGGTCCAAGTACCTAATAATCACATACTCTCCCACACGGTACCTTCATAACTACTGTGCGAGACCAATAAGTACCTCAGTGTTGGGTCCTTTTGGCCCTTAGGGAAGAACCCTGATCTAGTTTTCAGGCCCCCTTCTTAGGAACCTGCTGGTTTAAGGCTACGGGGCTCGGGGACTCTATGGGTTTGAAACTCCATCCGCATTCTGCTCGCAAGCAGAGTTATTTTGGAGAGGGTCTGGGGTATGTTGTTCAGGGTTGAGGCTTTGGGGGAGAGGGTTTGGGGTATGTGGTTCAGGGTGTGGGCTTTTAGACACAATCCCTGCTCCGCAGTTCAGGCTGCCCCTGAAAGCTGTTGGCTACAGAGTTATGAGCCCTAAACCCTAAACCCTAAACCGTGCAAGCAACCAAAGGTCTGCTCCCAAGAGCTTCTGCTTGAGCCGAGCAGCGGCAGTCGCCCAACAGAGGCGACGCAGAAGAGCTGGCTGTGTGTCAGTTTGGCAAGGAAGGCGCAAAAGGCCTCTTCCAGCTTGTGCTAAATTTCTGATGTAAAGTGAGTCATTGGGTTCTTCGCAAGGCGATTCTCGGTTAAGCTCATGTTCGCCAGTAGATCCAGTGGGCAGAGCTTCTTTAAAGTTCGAGCTGTATAAATAAATATACATATAGATATAAGTATAAATATACATATATATATATAGATATTTCTATTTATATTTATATGTATTTACGTATATGTTTATTTACTTGTTTTATTTATATTTATATTTTGTATGTATTAGTCGCAAATTATAATAGTCATACATGTATATATATATATACACACACATACACACACACACACATCACTATGCTAATGCTATACTTTATGATCCGATGTTTTATCATGCACCACCTTATACACACAGGCGCGCATGTGATGCAATGGTCTCATGCTTATGTATTGCGATGTGTCAGAGTTTGGGTTCCGAGGTCCAAAATTGCCTTAAAACCCGGGTTTAGCTGCAGAATTCAAACCGGCAAGCCTTCTGGGCGCTAAACCTCCTCATTCCGCGAACCCTAAACTCTTAAGCTAAAGATCCTTACACGCCAGCCCGCTGAAGACATGCTAAGAGCAGTGCCCTCAAGCTGTGATATAGACAACATCATTCCTCTGGGTTCCTGGTTCTGACCCTACCTTACTCTACCTCCCCCCCAAACCCGATTCTAGTTCCGAACAAAACCTAACAAAACCGTGAACCCAAACTAAACTCTAATTTTAATTCATGTCTCCAGCCCAGGTCCTTGCCCTAAGGGTCCATGGACCCAGAGAGTTGAGTTTGTACGGTGGCCTATATCTATATCTATATATACCCTATCCATCAGCCACACAGAAAACCGGGATTCACATGGTATTTTCCAGCGAAATGCGACCTATTGGTATTTTCCTGCGAATCCACATGCTTGAACATGCCTCCAAAAACCCGGCGGAGAACCCAGCAGAATCCATTACAAAAACCCAGCGAAACCCATTAGAG